CTATGATGATGACCTTTTTCAGAACCATCGAAGCACTTTACTTGTTTTGTTTTTTTCTTGCTCAACGTATCGTGGGGAGAAATTAATGCATTGCCTATTTTTGTGAAGTTTAAGTCCTAGACCAGATGGAGTGCAAGGGTCGAAGCGGTGAAGCCAGTCGCTAGATACCTTGAGAAGATACTCGAAGTTCTTTAAGAAATTTTAAATAATGACAAAGCAACGAGCGAGACGAGAAGTGATGCTACACTATTGTAGAAGCAGAGTTATGATTTTTTTATTTCACTGGGCTTTTGGAACAAGATCCCATACATTGTGTTCCGAAGAGACTGCAAGACTCCAAAATGAAGTTTAACGATGCTGCCTCAGACAAGACAGCGTGCGGAGATCACTTTCCTGAAGAAAGGAAAACATCGGTAAGTGTGTCACTTGATGAAGGGCTTCGTCTCTGTGAGGCATTCGATGTCGATGTTGAAAGGCACGCACTATGAAAAAAACAAATGCCTGGTGAAAAGTCGAAAGAAGAGGCGTTGATGGCTAAACAGGAAATAGAAAGGGTCACCAAATCCACACTCGATCATCTTCATTCGGAAATCCGTGAGAGGTTTACTCGCCTGCAGGGCGTCAATCTCAATCTTGGCTTTTTTGTGGATATCAACAAGCGAAGAAAAAAAATGAATTACAGCGAAGACAACAACAAACTAAAAACCGCAACACATTTGGCAAGTTATACAGTTCTAATGTTAAGACGCAGGACCTTTATGAAGAGATTTTAGATGGCAGACTGCTGCTTTCACAGCCTATTGACCAGAAAGTGTGAAGACCTGAAAAACTTCTTAAATTTATTGCAGAGTATGGAGATGATGGCACATTTTCCAACCTTTGTGTAGCCATTAAGAGGAAGTTAACCATTGAAGTTTCGATCGCTGGCTGTGAGAGATCCTTTAACAATCTGAAATTAATATTCCCCTCTTTGCGTGCAACAATGGGACAGGACAGACTTGCTGATCTTGTGCTACTGAGTTTGGACCGAAAAGAAACTAAATAACAAGCTTTGACGTCATTATTGTTTGCTTCATTGAAAGCAAGGAAGGTGCAGCTATAGTTTTTGCAGAGTGTCCTAGTGTATAGCCTATTTTACATTTGTCCTAATAATATCCAAAAGATGTAAATAAAGTGTTTTAAATAAAGAAATGTGTTTTTCTTGACAAGAATTAATCACACTGAGCATTATAACATTAGTGTCATAATAGGCAACAATATGCGACAGCAGGGTTCGCCAGAATGAGTTTTTCAACGCATCATTAGCGTTGACAAAAAAATGCAGACATAATATGCAGATTTGGCATATGCAATAAATAAGTTTGAATGATACATAAACATGTGTATCATTCACATACATCCACAAAAACACCTCAAGTGGTCATCTAGTAGTTATGGTGCATGACTGCTGTCTCGAAGATACAGAATAAGATTCCGGCCACAGCGACCGTATCTTTGATTTAGGTGAAAGTTAGAGGCCCATGTACTCAAATTTAAGTGCACGCTGAAGAGCCCCAGTTCAGCAAATTTTTTCTAGAGCCCTCCGCTACAGCGTACCCCATAACCATATCGTGGTTTTGTGACGCTGAATCCCAAAGATTATTATTATTAATTACTGTACCTGCTCAGGTACACAACGCTTGCAGAACTCGCACTTGCAGCAGCACGGTGCTGATGCCAGTCGCGAATCCAACGAAGTGAGTCGCCTCGACAGTGGGTATCTCGGATACCCGACAGCAGTGCTCATCGGAATCTGCACACTAACTTGCAACTTCGTCACACGAGGGATAAAGTCAGTGTATGTGAGAAGAAGTGGAAAACTATGCACGATGTTGCTGCTTGCACTGCTATCATCCAGAGTTTTGTTTCAATGTGCGAAGCGAAAAACCCGGAGTATCTGAAAAAACTTCCTGAAATATTTTTGAGGAAGTTGCCGCCACCGTTGCCCTGACATGAGACTGGCAACGTCAATGCAACGGTTGAGTGGCTTTAAAGGTGGTCCGGAAACCACTGTCAGATCTTTTGAGGCTGTAAGGCGAGTTGGCAAACTTCGTGCAAAAGTTTTAAAAAAAGAGGAAATAAAAAACAGTGTCGGGTAGAAACCCTGACATGGTACTTAATAGATTGTTTGAATGTCTTTCTTTTTTTCAGTTTGACACTCACAGTTTTAATTTAGCATAGGGTTAAACTTACAGTCAGCAGAACTTCTAAGTAAAGTGGCGAGCTGGGCTTGTTGGTATATATTCTGGTGAGCTACAGCACAAAAACTACACAACGAACAGAACGTAAACAATGTCTTCAAGCGCTGACAATGACGAGCACCGATTTGTCAGTGTTTCTCGTCGTCAATTGCATTTTTTCCGTTGTGTAGTTCTTGTGCTGTTTCTGGGTGTACTAAAAGGATTTCTGAATGAAAAAAATGGTTTTAGCTTTTTATATGTCAAATAAACAGTAGCAGCTTTAATTTGTGGGGTTCTATTTTATCTATTGAAATCATAACATGCAAAGGTACGAACTCTAAAGTCAAAGTAAGAATTTGATGCATTAGGCATTGCATAACGGCTTAAGATCAGTTGGTTTCGTACCCCAGCAAATTAGGTCATTGATTTTTTTTTTCCAGAAAAAGTAAGTGAAAGCTACACGGTTGTGTCTTAGGCAGTGCAAGATGAAATTTCCCAATGACAGTGGGTATGTACAAGTGAGAGTGGTAATTAACCAAGACATGCACTGGGTGAACTTTGAAAGATTGTGCTCCTCACTAGGAAGACGAGCATGCCCAAGCACAATTGCCGCAGTGTGCCATGTACATCATTCCTAGAGTGGAGTTACTGTATGTGCTCCACCTTGTATTTCCTTTAGTTTATGCATGCAGCTTCTTTATGCTAATTGTGCCAACTGGTGGTCAAAAGAGACTCAGTTTGATAGCTCACTAGATAAGCTGAACCCTCACCATACTCAATATGTCTTGAATTGACCGCAGTGTGCTGCGTATTACTGTAAATAATCGATTTGGTCAAGGCACTACAGTTCAGCGGCCAACCGATGTCCTGCATTGCAGAACCAACTTCTAACTAAAGTACATTGTACTTTTCTTTACTCAAAACAAATAGAATAAAAACTACTTGCATGCACAGTTGAACTTATGCTCTCATTATTTTTGTGTCAAAATAGAACATGACTGACTAGAGACCCAGTTAAAAAAATAATTGGAGCCAATTGAAAAATTTTCACTTGGTTTCTATTCGTGCCATTTGTGCATTATTACACATTTGGGCCATTTGTACCAATTGGTTGCATGCCAATTGGGTCAAATGGTGCAGTAGCATGTACCGATTGGGCCAATGGAGCGTATTCTTATTGGACCGATTAGCTGAATTCCAATTGGGTCAAGTGGTGCGGTCAGCACATGATCAATTGGACAAATTGACTGTATGCCAATTGGTTCAAATGGCATAGTTAGCACATTCGTCTGTAATAGTGCTCAAGCTTGGCACCTTAGTGATTCACCATGTCCAGGTAAAATTCTAAAATTAATCTTAAAATTGGCCAGAACTTTCACGGATCTGAGCTGGCATATTGCGTGTCACGTAGTTAGTTCTTTGATAGGCTCAGGAACAGCGAACTTCACACAGTCAAGGTGGGTAAACTCGAGCTTTATTTGAACGCTTGCAGCAGGTGTTGTTATAAGGCGAAACTATCCTCAGATGAGCAATGTGCTTGCGCGCATCCTTGTACACTGCCTGAAAGAAATTAAGACAATAATGACTCATCAAATGTACATAATTACAGCAAACATATAGCTTTACTAAATAACATGGGCGGCATGAACGCACTCGTGTTCAGCAGCACAACTTTAAAATGACCCTTAGCCTAGTCTGAATTAGCCCAGTCTTGCAAGCACTCACACAGATAACGCCACAGGAAAACAATGTAACGATTATGAATGTTTGCCGTCGCGGCAGCCCATCATTTACAGTTCTTGAAAAGCTGACTGGGGGAAAGGGAAACGGTTCAATCGTGTGTGCAGTGGTCGCATTTCCATGTACGTGAAATGCAACCCTGAAGGCAGCCGATTCTTTTTCATTCGATACTACACTGACTAGACATCAAATGAATTAACTTGCACATAATTACTAACGCTTGCTGCAAAGATGCATGTGCACCATAAGGCACAACACAAAGGATGCTCACACTAACCAGCATGTAGCAGGATTTGCTCATTTAATTGCATACTGCAGCAAGGTATACAATGACCCAGTGCTTATAATAAAGCATAGAAATACTTATGACAAACGCTCGCAAATTCTGGAAAAACATAAGTTAGCAACCATTCCCCCTAAAAGTCTCTCGTGTCAAGACTACTCATTTGGTCCAAAACTGAATGCCAATGTGTTCCGGGAACTCATTAGACTGAAAATGTTGTTTCCATCAAATGCCATTAGTTTCCCCATGTGACAGCAAAAATGACATTAGATTTCCCATATGACGAGTACCAGAGAGCTTGGTTTCTGACTAGCAATGCGTTATGCGAAACGCAAATGAACTGCAGCACTGAACTAGTGATATACCATTGAATAGAAAATGTACCACTCGATATTGTGTCAGTATGCATTGACAAAATACTTTTAGTCGGTTAAGAGAGTTTTAATTACAACATGGAAAACACAAATGCCTTGTTTTATACGGCATTTCACTGTAACGTATTTTGTTATTGTTCGACTGCAGTTCAAGGCTTGCATGAAATATTCACTTTATTTCACAAAAATTCTAACGCCTGTTCTTTTTTGCAACTTGCTATAGGGGTTATTTCACATCAACTGTCTCAACAGTCGTGAAAAATTTGACAAAATTGCACAAATATAGAAATCAGTTCTAGTACAGTATTTTCCAAAAAACTTTTGAGTGAGAGAGAGAGAAAACATCTATTGAATTAAGCTTGTGAGTGAAGGTGGGAGGGTCCCTTATTCCAGGAACCCTCTGACCTGGACATCCCGCCCGGTTCGAGCAACGAGTTGACGCTGCTCTACCAAGTCCAGCTGGGAGATAGCAGCCTCCCACGCTTCACTGTGGAGGTCTTGGTCTGCATCTGGTGATGCTGCTTGTAGCCTTGGGATGCTTAGTTTGCACTGCAGCAGGAGGTGCGCCAGAGTGTCTGCCACATTCCAGTGAGGACGGATGTAGTTGTGCGTAGTTGGCCTTGTATGGTGCAATGGTACACCACAGAAATTTTTTAGGCATGTGAGCACCATTTGAACTTTATGAGATGGTGAATAACCAGGTATAAAGAGAAAAATTGCTACAAATAGACCATTTCATGCATTATTTCACAGGCCGTTTTCAAGCATTTTTGTACATTGTATCTTTACGATAGGACAGTTCCTTATAGTTGATTGATTGATTGATTGATTTGTGGGGTTTAACGTCCCAAAACCACCATATGATTATGAGAGACGCCGTAGTGGAGGGCTCCGGAAATTTCGACCACCTGGGGTTCTTTAACGTGCACCCAAATCTGAGTACACGGGCCTACAACATTTCCGCCTCCATCGGAAATGCAGCCGCCACAGCCGGGATTTGATCCCGCGACCTGCGGGTCAGCAGCCGAGTACCTTAGCCACTAGACCACCGTGGCGGGGCACAGTTCCTTATAGTACCTTTTTATATCTTTAGCTTCTTAGTGCATAGATAAAATTGAGTAAATTGTAGCATTTTGGGGGATTTTTCTTACGACTGATGAATGCAATACATATTTTTACAGAACTCTACATAAAACCTACTATCTTGTCCAGCACTTAAGCTCTAAAATAAAACAATGAACTTGGCAACAATTTTATTTTGTCCCATGTTGCACCCTAAGCTATTTTCGCATCTGTAGCACCCTATGAGGATTCAAGAAAAAATAAACCAGCAAGGTGCATGCAATTAACAACTACCCGAGCTTTTTCCACTGATAGTTAAATGAAAGTAATTTTTTGTTTTAGCAGGAGAAAATTTTATAAAAAGAAATTTTTCAATGGGAAATTGCAGGTCAAGGGGATGGCTTGATTTGATCCAGCAGTTTGGTTTGAGGGGAGTGGTGTACAAATGCCTTCCTGTAAATTGGGAGGGGGTAGGGTTAGTCTGTGATAATTTTTCGGGGGTGCTTGGGGATCCTCCTCGAGGTGGGGGGGGTATTGCTTGATTTGAAACAACTCTGCCTTATCTCTATGTAATGAAAGTGAATGCGCAGGGCTCATGGATTGAAAATGCAATGATTTGAAACTAGGTAATGCATATACTTTCATTTGAATGCCCCATCTTCAGCTCATGTGATATGCCTGTAATTTTGATGCAAACACATAAAATGAGAACCACCTTGAGCATCAAGATTTGTAGCATCACGCTGCCCAGTCAAAAAAAATCAATGGGTCCAATTGGACAAATACCAATTGCTACGAATTGGTTCTCGACCAATTGGAATTTGGAAGATGGAAGATGGATTTGGACCAATTGGAAGATGGAAGGCTAGGATACAAACAAGCACAATTGTTTGTCTCCTGGCCTTTCGTTTTCCCGTCCACTGTGTGCGCGCTGAAATGTTACCGAGAATGTTTCTATCTGTGCCAGAATATTATCTCGATGACAAGCGCACTGTCTCAGTGCCTGGGAAGGTGGACCAAGCCCGCACATTTGGAATGACGAGTGGTGGGCTCACCTGTCGGGTGACCTCCTGCAAGAAGGCGACACCCGGCTCGAAAGTGGGGAAGACGATGGAGCCGTAGCGTTGGCACTGCGGCAGCGGCCGCACCTTGAGCACCACCTGTGTAACCACACCCAGGGTACCTGCACAAACCACGCAACAGGCACTGCGTAAAACTTCTTGTCGTCTGAGGACTTCCCGAAATCCATTTACACTCAAGCCTCGATAAAACGAACTCTGGTATGACGAAGTAAATGAAGCATAGGGTAGCAACAGCTGTAGTGTTAAAGGGCCACTCACCAGTGACGATTTAGAGCTGACAAGTGCAACGCGCAGATGAGGGGTTCACGATCACGTCTGCCAGAATTTGCAATGCTACGTGCCGCGGAAATGGGTGAAATTTCAAGATGAACGCTGCTCCTCCTTCCTTTTGCGGGCACGCGCCCAGTGAATGAGGACATGGAGTGCACGTATGAATGGCCCAACGTACACGGAAATGCAGTGACATTGGTTTTCTAGGTCGACGATGTGGTGTACTCGTATCCCGAAGGAGTACGGCCACCAGCGTGGGTCCGGTCTTAGCGAGCCGCAGGGCACGCGTTAACCGTCGCCGTGGCGGGAAACACGATACTGCTCAAGTCGCAACACTTTATTGTGGCAACACCAAACGCAGTACAGCCCGTTGCAAATAGGCGCGGCGGGAAAGCAAGTAGGCTTATCCACGCCACGGGCACAAAGTACTACACAGGGGTGCCACGAGCACGTCTCCGCGGTAAAGCCGATCCACGGAGACACCGGAGCAAAGGCCCGGTTGCTCGAGCGAGGGCAAAGGCGCTCGCGTGGGCTTCGAAGGGAGACGGGTCGGCGTAGCGAGGCCACGCACTAGGACACCGTACCGCCCTTCGGCCGTGCGTACGCAGCGGGGCAACAGCGGGTGAGCGTTCGCCTTGGGCGCCAGGCGCCGTCAGCGAAGTCCGACGAGCCCCGACTGACGGGAGTCGACGGACGAAAAGATAGCGTGGCTCACCGTTTGCTGTCCCGGAGAGTATCTGACCGCTCCCGACGCAGCGCGCGAAAACCTCCCAGGGGTCCCCGCGTGCGGCGCCACAGTCAACATCCGCTACCGGGTGAGGGAGTTATACGTCACTCCGCCCTTCCCAGCGCGGCAGACAGCAACGGAGGGCAGACATGTCGGGACATGAGAACGGCAGAAAAGGCGGGAAAGCCCGCTTAAAGGCAGCGGGCCAGCCTCAATTCCCACATCCCCCTCTCCTAAATTTGCCCTTTACCGGTCCGCAAAAGGCAGCCGGACGTCACCCATGCAGTTAAAATGACACTGCTATGAGCGACAGCTAACCTCAGTCCAGCCCTGCTACTGCTGCTAAAAAAAATGATTGCAAAGGAGAAACAAAACATAAATAACAAAATAAACACACGACACTATACAAATAACTGCGGAAGGGAGCACAGCAACGTGGCACTAGTGTTCGTGGTGCTGAAGGGGGATAGCGTCCAGTGCACGGAGGGGCGGTAAAGGCGTGACATTGTCCGCTGGGTGCGATGCCCGAGAGCGAGGTCAGAGGTACGGGAGGGGGGGGCTCACTGATGGCTCGTTGCTGGTCTTGATAAGCAGCGAGTCCGACGAACGCTGCCTCGGCTGTGCTTCGGAGGCCCCCGCATTGCTGGCTCGATGATGAAGCTGGAACGTTGCGCGAAGCCGGGCCTCTCCAGTGCTCAGGGAGGCCGACCCAAATTGGCTGCGAATGGCGTTGGCCGGCAGCATATAGCTGCTTTCAGCTGGCCTCGCGCAGGAGCCATGGTGGTAAAGGCAGCGGGGCTTCTTCGACGACGGCCGAGAGCAGAGCACAGCCAGACAGTCTGACGTCAGTGGGTCAATGACCCCCCAGCACCTCCAGCGTCCGCATCGATGGGGGGAAGCCATGACGCACTCTTCGCGGGCTCGCACTGAAGCGTCACGCACTTACACACGCACGGAAGCACGCACGCACACACACCGCCGACAGCTGCGCGAGCGTAGGCGCAAAGCGTCCTTCGTCTCTCTCTCTCTCCCGGCAAGCACCGACACTCAAGGTCACACACAGCTCCCTTCGCGGTAGACGAAACGAATACGGAAAAAAAAGTAAAAACAGAGCAAAACGACACTCAACATCTGGCGAAAAAACATAAAACACAAATAACACTTAATATTAGACAAAAGAAACATAAAATACACATGAACACTTCAAAAAAAAAAAAAAGAAACACTGGCAGCAGACACGGCGGGGTCAACTTCTTTACGAGAAAAGGCCGTAAAGAAGCTAACCTATACTGAGGCTAGACAGTAAACTGAGGGCCTTCGGTTGCGGAGAAGTCCGCCGTCCGGCGCGAAATCACAAAGGTGACCGCTTCCTCAGATTATACCGGCGCGGGGTCCGAATGCGGTCCGCCGCTCCGGGTGTGCCCCGTTGCTGGCGCGCAGTGCCGCAGGGCTCTGGCGCGAGCTCGTCAGACCGTGATACAAAGGGTTTCAGGTCTGCGATATGGGCACGGCTGAGTTTTCCCGTCTGGGGATCTTTCAGCAAGTACGCGAGTGGAGTGCAAGCTTTCTCCACTCGGTACGGACCAAGCCACTTAGGAGCGAGCGAGGTTGAGAACCCCTTACTGGCATCGCTAAGGGCGTGGTTGCGCTTCAGGACAAGATCGCCCACCTCAAAAACTAGGTCGCGATGCTTGCGGTCATATTGGGCCTTCTGCTGAGCCCTGGCCGACGCCAAACTTTGCCTTGCTTTGCAGAAAGCTCGACAAAGCCTGTCCCGAAGTGCCGACGCATAAGCAGAGCAGTCTGCCGGCGCCTCCTCGTCCTCGAGCTGGCATTGAGTGACGCTGGTCACCGGATTTGCCAACTCCCTTCCAAAATTTAAGAAGGCGGGCGAGAAACCAGTTGAGCGACTCTCGGATGTTCGAATAGCGAACGCGAGCTCACTCAAATGGTCTGCCCAGTCCCTTTGACTTTCGGCAAAGGCCGCCAACATCGGTTTGAGCGTACGATTGACGCGCTCCGTCAAATTGGACTGGGGATGGTAGGGTGAAGTGGTGCAGTGATCAATTCCGAGGGAACGGCACGTGACACCAAACACCCGAGCGGTGAAATACGAAGCATTGTCAGTGATGAGCCTTTCCGGGAAGCCGAACCGGCAAAACACTTCCTGCAGCTTGTCAAGCACCGCTCGCGCTGTCACCTTCCGAAGTGGGAAAAGTTCCACCCATTTCGAAAAGTGATCAGCGACTACCATCAGGTGAATGAACCCCTGCTTACTTCTGGGAAATGGTCCCATTAGATCGCAGGTGGCCACTTGCCACGGACGCTCACTGACAATCGGTTTCATCAGACCGGGCGGTTTGCCACCCCTTGATTTCACCGTTTGACAGACGCGGCAAGAACGGCAGTAGCGAAAAATGTCTCGCTTCATGCCGGGCCAGGTCACAACGCGGCTCAGTTTTGCAAAAACCTTCGAGCCACTCAGGTGACCAGCCATGGGTTCGTCGTGAGAGGATCGCAACAGTGCGGCTCTCAGACTTTTGGGCATAACCACCTTAAACGGGTCTATGGACTCGTCGTCAGTGGCTATATACTTCAGCAGGAGCCCGTCATGGTCCAGCAAATATGAATCCGCCGGGGACTCAGCGACACACGCTGGTTCGAGCCCCCTATTCGCGCCCGCTGCAGGGCAAGCAGCGTCACGGCGCTCCGTCTCGTCGAGACAGTCGTTATCGGCGCCCGCTGCAGGACAAGCAGCGTCACGGCGCTCCATCTCTCTGAGACCGTCGCACATTTCGCGACAAAACGGGTCACTTTGCTGGGCCTTCAGAAGCTCTTCTCTGCTGAAAGCGATGCCCATTCTCCCAAAATAGGGGAGTCTGGTATCGCGCCCACTCAGGACCGCAGCAACAACCGCTTGAGTCGGCGTTACGGGTTCGCTCTCGGCCTCGTGGCCTTCGGAAAGCTCCCCCGCTCGGCCGCTTCGCGGTGCGCCGCTTACCTGGTTAGCAGCCAAGGTTTGTCCGCATGGGGACTCACCCTTCACGCCGAACGGCGGCGAAGCTGCTGTTTCGCCCCCGACGCTTGCAAGTGCTAAGGCACCGCTAGCGGCGGTCGCACCGGGATCAAGGTCCTCGGCCGACAGTGGGGCACGAGATAGCGCGTCAGCTACCACGTAGCGGTGTATTCACCACAAAAAGGGGTGACGACACAGGCGAGCGCCGAAGCGCGCCCGTCGATAGAGGCGGTGGCCTCTTGCTGCAACGCGGCATGCCACGAAGCAGACATGTTGCGACGAGCCCGAATCGCGCAGGCGAACTGACTCGCTAAGAGCAATCAAAAGCTAGAGCTTTTGATACCGCGTTGGGCGCCAGTGTGGTGTACTCGTATCCCGAAGGAGTACGGCCACCAGCGTGGGTCCGGTCTTAGCGAGCCGCAGGGCACGCGTTAACCGTCGCCGTGGCGGGAAACACGATACTGCTCAAGTCGCAACACTTTATTGTGGCAACACCAAACGCAGTACAGCCCGTTGCAAATAGGCGCGGCGGGAAAGCAAGTAGGCTTATCCACGCCACGGGCACAAAGTACTACACAGGGGTGCCACGAGCACGTCTCCGCGGTAAAGCCGATCCACGGAGACACCGGAGCAAAGGCCCGGTTGCTCGAGCGAGGGCAAAGGCGCTCGCGTGGGCTTCGAAGGGAGACGGGTCGGCGTAGCGAGGCCACGCACTAGGACACCGTACCGCCCTTCGGCCGTGCGTACGCAGCGGGGCAACAGCGGGTGAGCGTTCGCCTTGGGCGCCAGGCGCCGTCAGCGAAGTCCGACGAGCCCCGACTGACGGGAGTCGACGGACGAAAAGATAGCGTGGCTCACCGTTTGCTGTCCCGGAGAGTATCTGACCGCTCCCGACGCAGCGCGCGAAAACCTCCCAGGGGTCCCCGCGTGCGGCGCCACAGTCAACATCCGCTACCGGGTGAGGGAGTTATACGTCACTCCGCCCTTCCCAGCGCGGCAGACAGCAACGGAGGGCAGACATGTCGGGACATGAGAACGGCAGAAAAGGCGGGAAAGCCCGCTTAAAGGCAGCGGGCCAGCCTCAATTCCCACAACGACATTGATCTGACGTTGCCAACAGTGGCACATGACATGGCGAAAATTATTTAGCACGGCAAGCGTAGTTTATGTATTTGTTGCTCAAAGAGATTAATAAATATTTAGATAAATAATAAAACGCGATGAGTGAAACTGAGTGTTCTCTTTCTTTCTTTTTTTTTTTCCCTGTGAATTGCAACGAGATGCGGGGCTAATGTGTCGGCGTTTTTCATGCGTTCGTGTCCCCGCAGTCAGCATATCGAGCAGACGACAGCCGTGGAACACTACTACGGGCTCGCGCACTCATTGTGCTCATCTATTCTACCACGTCTAGCCAGCGTTTCCAAACCATTTCGCAGAAACAGCCAGTAAACCTCAAAACAACACTGGTAAAAGAAAAAAAATAGCACCGCTCGCGTGCACAGGGGTTGGACTTGTTCAGGCACGCCATGTGCACATGACCTCTTGGTCGGATGCCAGAGAGGGTAGGGAAGAGATTTAGCTTGCAAAGCCTACGCGGAGGAGCGGCAAGGGTCTTGAGCTCACCTCCTCTCTTCCTCATTTCGCCCCGCTGCAAAAAAAGAACAGTTTTCTCAGTTCATAACGAACAGATTAAAAAAAAGTTTTGTGGCAAAATGTTCCTAATCGGACACCTAACAACTTCCAAAGTCTAACTAAAATTTGGTATGGGGCTTGGTGAGTGGCCCTTTAAGGATATACCTTCACGACGAATTTTGGAATGTGACGAAATTATTTCCGTGGAAGGAGCTCCTACTTTGCTATAATGAGGCTTGAGTGTATTTCTCCTATTCACTCTTATGTGCTTGATGCCAATTGTATTCTTTTTTTTTTTCTATTGTAACGGTCTTAATCCAGCCAAGTCCACTATATTGTTATTGGAATATTATTCCATTGCTCCTTGTTTTTAATAACGTAGCTTCTAATGTACATCGACACATTTTTATGCCATTAATAGCTTAATCACAGAGTTTATTAGCTTTTTTTAGTGAATTGGAACACATGCTCCGATGCAGACACACCATCTTTTTGGGCCCACAGGCATTTGAATTTCGAGTGGCCTGCGACTGCTCTATAGCAGTGGGATGCCCAACATTTGTAGTTGTAAACAAGGACTTGAATCGACTGCTACATAGGTTTTTTTTTATACTTAGTTAACCAAAGAAAAATATTTGACAGATGTTTGTGTGTTGCTATAGCAGTAAGTGAGCCCATGTGACAGACAGAATGGTACTGGCCAGGTGTTCCTCCAAAGAATCCTAGCTCGCTGAGTACAATAGCACTCTAAAGCCACCATCTCCCACACCAGCGCACTACCAATTTTTCTCCTGTAATAATAATGCAAGAAATTCTATGCCCGACAGACTCTACACTTGGCATTACAGTACATGTAATGGAAGTTTATTTATTACGTATATGAAAGCGTTTGGTGCCAAGTAACTAGAAAGCTCGCGAGTGCAATCACAGTCCTGATGATAGCAACAGCTTCAGCACAGCGAGACTGCCAAAAATGCGAAGTTACGTCCCAGTAAGGTAGTCAAAATTAAACCTTTCGTTGTCACTGATGTGTCAGAACGTTCCCATGTTTCCCCTCCCACCGAGCCACCGATGTACTTTCTCCGTTATGCATCCCAAAAAATTCGTGCTGAAGTGCAAAACGGGCATATTTGGCCCGATTTTACTCATTGCACCATCTCTCATATCTATCTAGCATCACATATTTTCTCTTCTTACTGTGTTGGTATGCGTCAGATTTAAGGGCGCCCGCAGCTGCCTCTCCAACGACCCAAAACACGACTCTGTCACTGCCTCAGCTCACTCGCTGCCTCGATGTGTGTACTCGCTCGATGTGTGTACGAGCCTACAGATGAACAAACAAATGAAAATAACAATTTGATTGGCGAACAGGGCTTGGGAAATGCACCTTCCGAACCAAGCACGAAGTGGTGCACGTCGGGCCCACTAGAGATGCGGGGCACTTGGCAGCTGCGCTCGACCGTGCCACTGGGCGTGACCAGCCGCACGTGCACCACCAGGTCCTCAATGTTGCCATACACGTTCTTCTTCATCCCGGATGCCCGAGTCGCCACCCAGCCACCGAGCGAGCTGAACTCGTACGAGTCTGGCTCGTGGCCCGTGCAAAGGCCATGCTCTGCCAGCTGCATCCCCCATTAAAGAAGTTAGTTTTGAGAAACCGACAACCTGTGCTGTTTAAAAGAACACTAAAAATAAACAATGACTTGGTTTTGATTGACAAAGTGCACTCGGACGACTATAATGCCACATGTTTCACTATTAGAATTATTAGTGTAGAAAATCAAGGTTCAAATTTAATTTTTAAATTTCATGCCAAAATCTCAGCACGTGACACAAAGAATTTCTAAATGTATCTTTTATATTTTCATGACACTTCCGTTTGCTAGGTCTGTGGCACCAACAGATGACAATACAGATGAATTTTATCACTTGTAAGCTACGTATGACCCAGTAAACACCTTTAAAATTTATGACGCCACTGTGTGTGGTGAGGGATCTCAAAGTGGCGTCTTCACCAGGATTTTTTTTTTCCGCGCATCTTTTTGCTTACCAAGTGCCATGTCGCAGTGAAAGTGGTGTATTGGAAATTGTGAAATTAGGCTTTACCAATACCGGAAAAATTGTTTGGCTCTTTAGTAACTGTTTAACACTTACAGAATACTGTGCCAAATCTGCTATGCTGCTGCGGTCGAGCGCAGGTTTTAGCCATTATTTAATTTCTGTTAATACAGAAAAGATATCCGAGAGCATAAAGAGTAAAGCTTTTTCAGACAAAGGCTGTCGGTCCCCAAGGCAAACTGACTAGGTAAACATGAAAAATGTAAGTTCACCACACGGGAGCGCAAGTCAGCTGTGTGGGGAACTCAAACGTCTTGGGCACCAATGGCTACACAAAAGCATTTGTTCGCAGAGCCCTCCAAAACAGTAAAAACGCAGCACCTGCGTTGCTGCAATGACAACGCACGCCATTCTTATACTTCGCCGGGGCCAGCGAAGTAATAGCCTGTATACTCAAAAAGGCAGGGGTCATTGTCCCACAAAAACCATCCACCCCTATCGGCAACTTCATCCCTCGCCCCAAAGATCACATGCCTGCGGAGATATCTCACGGCGTTGTATAACGGATCCAGTGCGCCAACTGCCCTGCTTCCTATAATGGGGAAACAAAGAACTTTCATGAGAGAAGGCGACAGCACAAGAATGACCTCCATCAACTGAACATCCAACGAAGTGCAGTAGCAAAACACGGTGAGCGGTTCGACCACCACATCTACCTGGACAAGGCAGCGATGCTGGAAAAAGAAAGGAACACTTGCCGCCGACTCCTCCTCGAATCCTAAGACATTGAGCAGACAGCGGGGAACATCAACCACTCCACTGGGTCATTGCCCTCCCTCTACTGCAGGGTTTGCGACGGGTAGCAGCGAACCTCTCGCGCAAGGCGAGGAAGCGTATAGAAGTGCTGCACATCTCACGCAAAGTGAGCAAGCGTATATAAGCGCCGCACATCTCCGGCTTTCTCACCCCTAAGAAAGAAGTTGCTTCGTAATGTCAGGTTTCTGAATACAATTTTTGGTTGGAGTTTCCCAATTGCCTCATATTTGTCATACATGCATGTAATGCTCCACAGATTCTGATATGTATGTCCAACAAGTGAAGCAATAAGTGAAGCCTCTCATGTACATGCATTCTCAGCTCACCTGTCTCTCCAGGTCCTGGCCAATGATGCCAGCCTCAATGTTGGCAGTCATGTTCACCTTGTCAACCCACAGGATACGGTTCTGCGGTATAACAAATGATGTAGCGTAAAATAGCATGCAGTATCGTGAATGACTTGACCAAGCAAGTCAGTGCCGGCAAGTATGTGAACAAAGTCAACCAGGTCTGGCATACCATTTGAGATGTGTCCAGTGAAACAATCATCCTGGTCTCTGTAACCGGACATTCGAGGGCACCCGACACGCTCGTGCCACCTTTGGGAAAATAGACAAGACGAGCATTCATTTTGGTGAGAGTGGGAGAAAATACCGGCAGTCACCAACAATTGCAAAACCACATAAGCCAACAGAAAGACTGTCCTTGTTTGTCTTCCTGCATTTGCGCGGCTCAGGTACTACGATTCCAACACTCAGACCTGGTCATTTTGACTGCACAGTCTGCATTTTCATTTTCCTGAGTAGCCGTCTGCGATTTTCAGGACAAGTGGTATTGCCAGAACGAAAGCCTCAGTTAGGTGCCCAACTCTAATGGTAAATAACTTTTAACTCGCAATGACATTAACATAAAGGGCCAGTAAAGAGGCTATGACATTCTAGTGTACACCTCTCAAACAAGCTCTCCAATTTGTGCAGAAGGCCGCAGCGATCACATTTTGCATATCACAGCGCAGTGCGTCAGGCAGCCGCTTCATTGCTAAAAGCAAAGCCCGCGCTCCTCTCCAGGGACCATCCAATTCTCCTCGTACAGAAAGTGCCGTAATCTTGTTTACGGCCACTCTACAAGCTAATGTAATCTGAGGTAATCTTTCCCATGGGCAATCACTTTGTGTACAAATATCGATGGGAAATCTCATCTTGCCCATGGGCTATCTACAACCTGCCGTAATCTGATGTATTCTTGCCCAGGGGCAGCAATGACTTCATCGGTTGGTTTTTTGCACTACAAAACTACGCTTTCGCCCTGCACTGATCTAGGGAAGCTTTGTACATTGTGGAAGCCGCAAGTACCTACTTATAACGAACCTCCATACAACAAATTTCTCAACATTACAAAGTTTTTCGATTCCTCACTGTTACTCCACTGAATTTGTGACCTCTATGTAACAAACTGGCAGCAATCATTCTAACGAATTTTCCCCATCGACAAACTAGAAATTTTACCCCAAACTTTGTCATTTTGGCATGAGTCCATTTTCTACGGTGGCACTGCCGACAGAGCACGAAGCAGCGGCATCGCGCGTGGTGCGCTCGAAGCTCTGGCAACCATGGAGGCATGAGCAAGCACTTATTAGTGCGAGTGTGGGTGTGCTCGAGGGGACAAGCAGCCCAGTGAGCTCGAAGCCGGCGTGGCCACCATTCTTGCCACCGCATTCACAGATGTGCCATGACCCTCGCTTCAATCCAAAAAAAGAAAGACACTTCGAGTTCACACAGCATATGAAGATCGCTTTCTTGACGTTCACTCTTCATTTTCAATGCTGTGTACGCGTGCTGGTTTCACTGCCCATGCATGGAGTGGCCCCCGGCAGTGTTCAAATTTTCTTTTTGGTGTGAACAACTATGTTGTCACTACTGAGGAGATGTCAGATTAGACGCTGGTTGAAACTGTCCAAGACCACGATGGCCCCAGATCTTCAGAGATCGACTTGTCATGCACTTTGCCATGTTGCTCCACACCGTTGGTTCGCTAAACTGCGACCGCGATTACCTCCTGCGGGGCTGTTCAACCCCACTCGCGTTTTATAACCTACACATAAAACTTGTGATGCACGGGTGCATGCTGTCAATTTGGACTTCATACGGAATACGACGGCAATGGCAAAAACTTGTCGAGAGTATCTTTGAAATTGTTATCACTATATTAACGCAGTTCCTTACAGCTAAATAAATGTTTTAGGCGAGCTCTGCTTTCAGTTCACCTTTTGTTTAATTTGCGCATTTATTTTTTCAATTTTAATGCTGAAACTGCATTTAACGAAAACCAGTTTATAACAAAAATTTTTTTAGAATAAGTCCATTCCATCTCTTACAGGTTGAAAGGGGCATTAAAGTCAAATAACAATTTATGTAAGAGCAAAATCTCAACGTATGACGTCTAAAACAACAATATTATCAACAGCAGTGACCAACTTACCAAGAAATCAAGATGAATGCACCAAAACACATCCGCAACGAGTAGGAAATTCGTAAATCAATACTGATGACATCAGAGTTACCGCCTACAATTAATCTATAGTAATCAAACTAGCTGCACTAAATAAAAAAACCTTCCGTGCACCATGAGACTTAACGAAATGACGCTTGTTCCCTTCTATTTAATTAATGGAAAAATAATTGCCGGAATGAACTGCTAGTGGTTCATTCAAAAGTTCGATTTTCGCCTGGTTAAAGTGGACAGGTCGTGCCATCTAGCGAGCCCAGTTGAACCAAGCACGTCTGCCATCTCGGAAACCATGGCAGGAGATTGTTCAATGGTTGTTGTTGCTGCGGTGGCTCCTGGTACTTTCATTCTGCTTCTGCTAGTGTTGGTGGCCGTGCAGTTAAGCCGGGCAACGTTAAGCACAGCAACAGTGACGTGACAGTTTCCGCTTTGAGATGGGTAATTTCAAGTGTGCTAACGTGATATGGACCAATAAAATGTGGTTTTATTTCAATTTCCTTGGCCAAAAGTAGCACTAACAGGTTTCTGGACGGCTATTTCAGGAATAAACCAACTTAATATTTGCCTTCAGAGTCCCTTTAAGTGTAATAGCAATAACCAACAAGCACGAATGGTCAAACGCCACAACCCTTCTATTCCTTGTTCATCATTCAGGAGGGCAGTACGTTGCATTTCAAATTTCAAAAAAAAAAAAAAATGAAAATGGTGCCAAGTAGAAAAAGACAGGGTGATAATGTGAGGAGACGAGACATGCGCTCCTGTTTTATGTTGCCTTCATATCAATAATGCACAAGCCAAACCAGTTCAACAGACTACTTCACCGCGAGCTAATTCTTTTCATTCTGCAGCAACACGTGAAGCAACAAGCCACAAGAGCATAGGTCAGCAAATTCACTGACGAGTCGACTCACTCCGACTCTCTCAGACTTAGATCGTGTGAGTATGGCCGAGTCTAGGAGAGTGATATCCTGGAGAGTTTGAGTTCGAGCGCGTTTGGTTGAACAAAGTTTTTATGAGAGCTAGTCTGAGTGGCTCAAGGAAATTTTTGTGATTAAGAGTCCGAGTGAGTCCGAAGCGCGAAATATATTTTGCAAGTGAGTGAGCTCCACAATCTTCGTCGACCTATGCACGAGAACGCAAGCCACCTCTACACACACAACTCACCCACCTCCAAATGGTATGACGACAACGTTGTGCTGCGAAGCCAGGGACACCAGACTGACGACGTCTTCATGGCACACTGCGATTGTAGGCACACATCATGCAAGCAAGTAAGATACATGAACTAACTAACTTGTATTTGTACGAATAACACATAGACAAATATCGAAACCGAGAGCCAGAACACGTGGCTTGGACGTGCTCCACGGCTTCGGAAAAGCCTTAGCAAGCTGCACCACAACACAAATGTACATACATTTGTGCTGTATACCAAGATAGCATACTACACGAAAATAGGTTTGCTATATTCGAAAATTGATCAGAGCAGCCTTTCAAAGCCTTTTTTAAACACTCCTTGGGTAGCTGCTGCAAGCACACTTGCAGGGTACCCACTAAGCCATAAATCATCATAACCTACATGAAAATAAGTTCACTATATTCGAAAATTCATTAGAGAAGTCTTTTAGAGACTTTCTTTAACACTTAGGGTAACTGCTGAAGCCCACTTGCAGGGTACCCACTAAGCCATAGATCATCATAACCTTTGTGTAGTATGCTGGTATTCTTGTTCACCTTCTCTTGTGGCTCATTGTTCGTCATTCTTCGGAGAAGTGTGGTACCTGCTACACACTTGCAAGAAATTTTGTGCAATTTTCGTATGTTGTGGCTGATGAGGGTGAAGGATCATGCCTGAAGCTTTTGTAATGGATTAGAGCATTCAAAAACCTCCTCGTTATGCAATTCGCATTGTGTGATGACTGGCTATTCCTTTGGTGTTTTAAAATGCTTTATTACTCATATTGACTCGATTCCTTTCCCGACATCAAGCATGCCTAAGGCTAGTTTGCGATGAAGTTCCAAACAGCGGCACGGCTCAGTGGTAGGACACTGGGCTGGCATGCAGGGGACCCAGGTTCGAATCCCATACGACCATTGGTGTTATCTATTTACAAAGTTTGCACGATAGCGGCTACTGACACCGGCGGCAGTGGCAGTGGCGGACAGCTACGATGCATGCGACCCTTGTTGTGGTCTCACAACAGCTTTCACTGTAAAAAAAAGCATGTAGTATTCCCGCGACACGTGTAAATTCTTGTTGGGGAGATTCGCAAACTGGATGTGCGACATCTGCGCACTTTTTTCCGCGCTTCATCAACTTCCTGCTTATTATGGCAGCTGAGATATGTGCCGTCTGCAGCGAGTTCCATCAAATTGTTACCAGCTGCAGGCGCACATATGCAGAAGGCATATACCGTCAAATTGTGATGCAGCACCGGTGAAGTGCAGGGGGAGGGTCACTTACTCACCTGTTGAGGCAGTGGTGCTCTCGTTTGCAGGGCCCTAAAGTCATTGAAGGCTTCAGACACGTTTTATTGACTTTCACCTAATTATTACAATTAGCTCTCGGTCATTTCTGCTAATTATATTAATTTAGATGTTATTCATTCATTTTAGCACAGTTAACTTTTTTATGCCCTGTATTGAACGCTTTAGTGCAAGTTGTGGGAATTGAGGCTAGCCCGCAGCCTTTGCGCGGGCTTTGCCGCCTTTTCTGCCGTTCTCATGTCCCGACATGTCTGCCCTCCTTTGCTGTCTGCCGTGGTGGGTGAGCGGAGGGACGTTTAACTCCCTCACCCGGTAGCAGATGTTGACTGTGGCGCCGCGCGCGGGGACTCCCGAGAGGTTCTCGCGCGCTGCGTCGAGAGCGGTCAGATACTCTCTGGGACAGCTAACGGTGAGCTACGCAATCATTTCCGTCTGTCGACTCCCGTCCCTCGGGGCTCGTCGGACTTCGCTGATGGCGCCTCGCGCCCGAGGCGAACGCTCACCTTTTGTTGCCCCGCTGCGTACGCATGGCCGAGGGCGGTACGGTGTCCTAGTGCGTGGCCTAGCTACGCCGACCCATCTCCCTCCTAAGTCAAGCGCCTAGTGCACAGTGTAATCACGTCACATGAAAACCATGGATGAATGAATGATAACCTGAGCTTCAAACAACACACATGTGGCAAAATAATGGGCATGCTGTTCGGACAACTATTGCCATAGATCTTCTTTAGATCTTCTCTTGACTGACGGTGTTTGACGTACTCAACCACTCTTATAGACGCAAATTTTTTTCTTTATGTTGAAAATATAATCTTATCTTCCAGGGCTACTGCGTGAACAACAGCGTGCACCAAAATAGTGCAGTGAAAACAAAAGCAGTTATCAAAATAATTACAATTGAAGTGAACATCAACCTTTACACATACTGAAAGAACATGAAGCAAAATGACTCAAGGTGAAACAAGCCAATAGCCGTGGCTAGACATTTGTGCTCAGTGCAGGTATGTCACGAGGAAAAGAGCAGTATTTCTCTTGCTGTTTTATAGATAACTACAACTCAACCCCTTTATAAAAGATGCGCACTGTGAAAAAATTCTTGTCTCTTTCATGAGGCGTTTCTTATACCAATGCTGGCACACTGGTGCCTCTTACATCAGTGTCTTCATAAAGAAGTTAGACTGTGTTAGGGGGAATTCCATAGCCACTCTAGTATTCTTAGATTCACTTACGCGGCCAGACGACCAAGTCGGGAATGCGAGCGAACGAACCTTCCCGCAGGATGAAGATCTCACGCATGGTGTGACCTGCATGAAAGATCAGGCAATGGTAATCAGACGATTGAAAATACAGATAGACTGACAACAGCCAACGTAACATTGGGTGACTTGATGTTAAATTTTCCTTTGACAAGTTCAACAAGAAAAAAGAACTCGCTAATATTGTGTCTAAAAAAAACGCGCCCTCAAATTTTCACTTCTTTCCTTAATTTTGGCAATTTTAGAAATTCTGAATGTCCTGCTTTATCATCAACACATCATTTTAATTTTAAAAAGAAATAGGCATTGGTGAATAAAGGGAAGTTGGCTTCCTAACTCAGGCAGACAATGGTGGCCATTTTAATTTTAATTTTTAAATTTCGATCATATTAGCCACAAGGACCAACTAAATTTATATACAATTTTCAGGTGGCTGAGTGCATCAAATCAAATGAGTGAAGTTTCTCGCATCTGACACTATATTTCTAAATGCTGTTACCCTCAATATCACACTGTGTACAATTATATATTCCTTGCTTGTGCTGATAAGCAAACTCCAATAATGGCAAGCACCAAGAGTGTAGCCAAAATTTTTTTAAGGCAGGAAGGGGGGGGGGGTCAGTCTTCTACGCTTCATGAGCATTCATCTGTGCGTGTGTTTGTATGTGTGCACATGAATACATGTTATAAAATGTCCAAATTCGGGGAGGAGGAACTTAACCCCCAATCTTCTCTTGACATACCACTGGGAGTGCCAATCACAGAGACACTGCTAACAGAAACAATGCCAATGCACAATTGCATAATGAACAAATGAATGGACATAAGTGATGGTAGAGTATGTCACTTAGGATAACAAAAAGTACACTGCACACAATAATCATGACACAAGTCATTACCATGTGCCCTGAAAAGCCTGTCCTGGCCATCGGCCGAGTAGGAAATGCCGGCACGACGAACGTCCTCCAGGAATGCCTCGTTGATTATGGGGGGCGGAAGTTCCTGGTCTGAAGGCGGGGGCTGTAGTCAGCGCAAAAGACAACAGCGGGTTGGTTAGCGAACCACATTTGTCACATAACCAAAAGGGCCACCTCAAAGGTTAAGAGAAGAGGAATTGTCAGTTAATTTTATTCAAAATGTGCCACATTTACATTTAAGCAAATTTCATAGCAAAAACCCCTGTCAAACCGTTAGTGATGAAATGTCGACAATAAAACAGGCACGAAACAGAAAGTAGAAACACAGCAATGAGAAATTGACATTGCAGATGTATATTATCAGTACGTTAAAGTTTAAATACTGACACATACTGACAATCGCAGCTATTCGGGCATATTTACATGTCTACTCACTCACTCGGTCTACTCACAGCTGCAACTACTCACTTGCGTACTGCCTTTATCCTACCCATGATAGAGCACGGTATCTAAAAACTGCCACTGAACCATTACATGGTTACCTTAAGCTTACGCGGTGTGAAAAAGCACTACCTTTGAGATTTGTTTCCATTCACTGGAGGGTGCGATGTTGATATGAACAGAGACACAGCTGAATACAAAGCACTGTGAATATAAAATTTTAGGAGAAAAGTGAATTTGAATATTGAGTGCGAGTGCGAACTGAATCAAATATTTTTTGAATATTTCTACAATATGTCTTCATACCTAAAAGGGAAATTGCAGAAGAAATGTTGGAGAGCATTCCTAAGCATTTCCCTATAAGGTAGCAACACAAAAGTGTTTTTTTTGGTTAGGATGATGAAGCACTGTAGAGGGCGGTGTTTCATAACTGTCGCATCAAGAATGAGGCAATTCAGAGGTGAAATAGTACTTAAGTGCATGATTTGGTGCAACCGAAGAGTTGCCTGAATTTCACATCCAAAACACCATTGATAGAGCCCTCAGATCTGCCACATCTATTATCTGCATGGTGGAACCAGCGTTTTCTTGAGTCGATGCCTTGCGACTGTAGCAGAGCTAAAAAAGCAGCTTCGACGACCTACACGAGAATGTGGTTGAATGAAGCATATTGAAAATTTAACGAGGCCACTGCAACTGGACGTTGAACTTATTTGTCTTTGGGAAGTTTGAATAGTTCAAATAGCGAAATTCCAGTGCAAGTCGAATAGAAAACACTAGCTGAAAAACATACATTTCAAATATTCACATACTCCTAATACAAAGTTGAAAAAAAAAAAAACTTATTTTTTTCTGCAAGTCAGGGAAGAAACAGTACTAAGTGTCGCACCAGAAATACACATCATTAGGTGTGTAAAATACACACCATCACAATAATGCAAATGAAGGCAAAGCTAAGTGCGAAATGCCTATAATCAAATATTGCAAAGAGTGGCATGCAAGGTGCAGTAGTAACTAGTAGTAAAACTGCTGGTTTTATTTAGTTACTGCACTACTAGCAGCTATAGCGACTGGTAGTGCAGTAACTAAAATAAAACAGCATAAGCATTCAGCTTTCAAACAGTTCGACCCCACAATACCATTAATGCTCAGCTGCGCACAAGACAGCTTGGCTGGATTTAAGATCAATATGTCACTTGTCGCTGGCAGGTACAAAGGTGCGGTCTGCTAAGATATAATGCGATGACAGACAAAAACACTTCCAACATTACTTTCAAAACAGACGCTGACACATTGCCATTGGCCACAGAGCACGTCACCAAAACACTGCTTACAAGACAGTGAAGTGGCACGTTCCAGGAGAGACATGGCCCCAGTGGAACATGTTCCTGAGCTACTCAATTTATATGGTCTATGTGGAATCTACAAACGCGGGTATTATGGTCCACATGTACATTTCGTGCCCAATACAAATAAAGAAAAGGCCCAGATGACGAGGTGAGCAATAATAATGAATCTCGCGCACTACACAGAACACTAAGAAAAGCCTTCAAGGTATCGTCTCCTCCGTTCGCTTTTCTCTATACTAATTCTTCCAAGGTGTCCACAGCGTTTATACTTTGTAGTAACGATGTTCCCTGGCAATCCATGGACTTACCCGGTCACACGTGCGGATAGGGTTAACGGCCACAGAGGAAGAGCCTTGCAAGGAGGACTTGGTGCTTTTTATAGGTGCCTGAAGGATACATGCAAAACGGATGCAGGGCAGAAGCCAACCGACACACAGCAGTGACAGAGACAGCGAGCAGGCATGCAAGATAGCACGAGGCACCTCTGTAAGCAAGTTGAGGCTTAGCAACAATGAGATGCGACAGGCAAGCAACAGGGCAAAAGAATGCTTATGCCACCAAAACGAACACAAAGCCAGCGAACCATTAAGATTTTCATGCAAACAAAAGAAAAGCACTACGTGAAGATGTGAAATTTAGAAAGAAAGGTCAAATTAATTTAGGACAGCTTCTTGGTGTAGAAATCGATGCCATTAAAAACCATGGACACAGTAAGACCGATGACACGGTAGCTTTTTAAAGAGTGTGAAGACTGAAAGTATACTTTGAAATTACTCGCAGTTATGTTTAAGATACAGTCATACGAATAAATTAAACTGTGTCTTTATGTTTGAGGTGTTGCGTATCAGCATATAACAGGCCTCTGCATCAGTTCTCTACAAATTTGTGCTAACCAATAATCATGTCTAAACAACTTTGTGCCACACGACTGAAGGGTATGTGCAAATTTTTTTTTCATCATGACGAAGATAATTTTCTGACTTTCTAGTCCTCTCTTACAGTGACACTTTTTATGTGGTAGTTAGAGTCTGTGTTAGCTCTCTTGTTCATTGTGTTTCTGTATTTTGTATGACTAGCTTTCCCTAATATAAATGCATAGTCAAAAGTGGAGCCAAGAAGATCACAAAAAATCAACAATACTTTTATATGGTCAGTCTTAAAAATGCAGTGGTTATTGTGTGGTTCAAGTACTATGTAGTCATTGTTTTTGCTGTCTGCAGTACGCCTCACTTGCACCTTCCTTCCAAGGGAGCAATAAACGTTATGTGGACACTATCGCGTAACATGAGAAATTAACTAGGAAAGTAGAAATGAAAGTGAACGAAGAGACATCTTGCCATCGTTGGGAGTCAAACCCACAAGCTCCACCCTATGAGCTACCACAACTGTGTCTCAGGTCAGCAAAGCTTAGTGCTGTCAGTCATGCTGGCTATCACTACCGGTGCTATGTTAGAAATAGAATTATCCGAGGAAGTGGATGTGGGGAAGTTCGATAGATACAGAATGCCACACAACATTTTTTTATTTATTTACACTCGTACCCACAGCGCCATTTAGGCATTACAGTGTGTGTGTGGGGGGGGGGGGGGGGGGGGGGTGTTACACAGAGAATTTATAAATCATACATTTCAAGAATATTGGTAGTGAAAAACTTCAAAAAAAATTTGAAGGTAGTGGGTTTCAGTTACCACCAGCAGTAAGTTGTTCTACTACTTTCTTATTGCCAATCGCTTCGTTTTTGTACACTTCAACTAACGAGAAAAGTACTACATTTACACGCAAACCTCGATATAACAAAATACCCGTTATAATGAAGTAAATGAAGAATAGTCTTCCAATAGATATAGTGTGAGCAATAAACCTTCTTAATGAAGTTTTGGATATAATGAAGTGGAAGATGGTACTTTGTTATAACGATGTTTCAGGGTGCTCTAATGTAACATGACCACATGTGCAATGCGAGGCATGACTTTTCATTGCATCCAGGAAGAAAAAATTTTTATTTTGTTTTTCGACTGTAATTCAAGGGTCGACATAAGGTAGCAAGTAATCTTGGAAAAAGCTTGCGCTAAATTCAAGTAAATACTCCAGCTGCCTTTTTGTGAGCTGCTCAGGGAAATGTTTTCTGCGAATATGTGAGTGCAATTTGAACAATACACGATGTCAAAATTTAGTGTTTTGACTTTTCTGAAAAACGCAACTAATGCTCAGAAGAAACGTTTCCATATATTTCCAATCAAAGACGAGTTATTTAGAGCAGTAGGTAAAAAAATTGGCAAAAAGTTAGCGCCCCTCGTGCATACTCTTCATGCCTATACGTGTGCTTCATATGAATTGTTCTAGGTACTGCACTAGATGTCTTCAGACCCCATGCATTGTAGACAGAATGCGATTAAGAATGCATTGGTATTGGATTTGATACCCAGGCCATGACGAATTTTGCGTGTAGGGGAGTGGGGCAGGTGTAAGCGAACTCCTCGTGCATCGGACGCTATATGAAGCATTTCTTCAGAGGTCCCCCTGCACCCTTCTGCCCCCTGACATGCACTCATGCACACACACACCAGAGGAAAGCATCACCGGTGCTCCTGCCTCGCTCGTGGGCATGTGCGTAGGAGGGTGAATACAGGTCTAACAGCATCATGTGCGATACCTATCAGCGGTCGCCACAAAGTACAACAGACCTCGGGGTTCTGCCTCTTCTGAAACTAAGTACAAGCACACATTTTTCTGTGACGAAAGTTAGTGCAAACGATGCACAAACGAAACAGAATATGTGACAGCACAATGCACGCAAGCAAAAGCATACACGATGGCAGACTCCTGGGGGAGAAACAAAAACGGCTGCAAGTGGGAAATTAGGGCAAAGGTGACCAGCGTGCTTGTGACCAGCGTGCCTGTGGGGTTCCACCTCCTGGCCAGACTTGAGTTACCTTTCCTTACCTGAGCCGGCATGAGGACACTAAGGTCGACGCCCAACGCCGACTCGACCCAGGCCTTGAAGTGAGGCAGCACCTTGTTCCCAATCTTGTACCTGATGAGCCGAAGTTAGCAAATGATCAGACAAGGAAATGGGTAATTGAATCGTAAACAGATGCCTAAGCAATGTTATAAGAATCTAATGCACACTAGCTTGACATAATCAGCACAAGTTATCCTGTAATAGAATAGAACTTGTTTTTTTTTTTACAGTATCAGCATGTAATGAATGCTCAGCATTGAATGGTACAAAACCTAATGAAGGTATTTTTATGTTTAACATGAATTCGTAGCAAGAAGCCTTGAGGGTGCTCGTAGTAAGCAATTAAGCTTTAATGTACACTCAAACCTCGGTATAACCAATTCAGATATAAACAATCATTGGTTATAACAAACTAAGAGATCAATAGCTTTACCATGAATACAGTGGTACAAATAATTGTTATATTATGTTTTCAGCTATAACGAAGTATTTTCGAGGCAGATGCAACTGTCATAATGAGGTTTGAGTGTAGTTTTAATACTGTTTCAGCAGCCGAGTATATTATGTAAGGTGGGCAAATAAATGCTCGTCATGGCAAGCACAGATTCTGCAGCCACGTTTAGTTTTTCGTTTTAGCCTATAGCAACGCATGCATTTGCTTCCTTATGCAAGCAGAAATAAGGCCATAAGTGTGTTTTAATACCATCACTACAATTACACTAGCAAACTTAGGAACTTTGTTTGATCAGACTCACACTTTTTATTATTACTACTGGATCTATAAGCAATAAAAAAGTCAGTAGACAACTCAGTCATGAGACTGATAGAAAATATTGTGGCATATTTAAGTCTTCTCAAATACTGGCGTCACCCAACGCCAATTTAAAAAGGGTGCTCATGTTCCTACACAATTAAAGTGAGTATACTGCACTATCGTAAAATTGTCACGCAAAACTTGATGCAATACTCATGTGAAAATGCCAAATATTGTCAAGGCCACACGTAATGGCTGCTTTTTAGACTGCGTATGTAGTACATAGGTCGCCGAATTCACTCGTAAGTCAACTCGCACAGACTCGGATCGAGCCGCAAGTACGAGTGGGTCTAGATGAGTGATATTTTGGTGAAATTGAGTCTGAGCGAGTCCGGTCGAAAAAATTCATGAGTGTGAGTTCGAGTGAGTTTGGCTCGGGAAAATTTTCGTGAGTCTGAGTGAGTCCAGAGTGCAAGGTATATTTTGAATGAGTCTTGAGTGAGTTCCACTTTTTTTGCCTACCTATGGTCTTATCTACTCATCTTCACCGTCACAGTGAGCCTTACATGAACTCACCTTTATACTCGCACATACTCCAAAGCAGTATC